AAACGTTTCATATAGTGACAAATCCGGAAACGCTAAAAGGTTTCCGGAAAAATGATAGGGTTTCCGGATTTTTGGAAACGGATCACTTTTTCTGGAAACCTTTTAGCGTTTCCGGATTTGTCACTATATGAAACGCTTTTAAGGTTTCCGAAAGTCGGAAACCCATTTTTTCCTTCCAAGAAACTTTTAAAGGTATCCGAGATCAGCCCGGAAACGTATTCAGGTTTCCGAAATCAGTCTAGAAACCTATTTGGGTTTCTGAACGCTCTGAAACCTATTTTCCTGGGTTTCCAAGAAAACGATTTTTATTTAGAGTGTAGGGATCTCTTAAAATATATTAGCGTTGAAAAATTAATTAATAAAGATTAAATTGAAAATAGAGAATAGTAGGTTAACACACAACTATTATATGCGGTCTTTCTGTTCATGTCTATCCATTGTATTCGATATTGAATTTTTGTACTCGATGATTTCCCCAATCGACAACATAGAGATTCCCGTGTCGATCGAATGACAAACCGAAGGGTGCATTGAGTTGGTTCGATTGTTCTCCACTACCGTTGCCTCCAACAATGACACTTCCTTGTGTAGCTTCTTTAGGCCAACGCATGATTCGATCATTCCCTCGATCAGCCACATAGACAGTGCCCAATTGATCAACAACAACTCCTTCAGGATATGACAATTGTGTATGATCATCTCCTTTTCCTTGACTACCAGCCACGGCAATGCCTTGTGTTGCACGTTCCATCCATTTCATCACACGATGATTGTCCCAGTCAGATACGTACATTGAATGATCTCGATCGATGAATATGTATGAGGGAGAAGATAGTTGATCGAGACGATTTCCACGTCCATTGCCACCTGCAACCACTGTTCCTTGAGATTCTCCTCTTCGATATCGTCTCACTTCATCTTTTCCATTGTCAGTGACATAGAGAAACCCATTCTCGTCCATTGTCAAACCCCAACAATCGATGTTGGAGATAATTGTTTCTCCACTTGTCCCATTTCGACGAGGCCATCGAACCACTCTTCTATTCCAACGATCACAGACGATGAGACTATCTCTCTCGTTGTCGATAATCACATCATATGGGCTATCCAATTGATGATCTCCAGTTCCTTGTCCATTTCCACCAGCAACTACTTGGCCACTCGTTGCACCTCGTTTCCATTCCTCAATACGATGATTTGATTGATCAGCGACATATACAGTTTGATCATCATCAACATACAAACCCCATGGGTTGGAGAGTTGATTGATTCCATTACCGTGTCGATTTCCTCCAACCACAGTGATACCATTCTGTTGCCATCGAGCATTCGGATGAATGTTGGTGCTGGATGGAGAACGTAATGGATGGACTGAAATAGAGAGCAAGCAGAGCATAGTATGACACACTCAGACAAGAAAAAAAAACTTTTAAGATTCTCTACGGCTCATGCCTGACAAACTTCCCGTTTCTAATTATAATGTTAATGCTGCACGAACTTACAAAAAAAGTATCACTTAAATAAACATGTGTTTTTTTTGTTTCTTCTTTCTCCTTCTTTGTTAATACTAGTGCTATTTAACAAGATCATTCTTCTATGTCATTGAATGTGACTGTTTCACCCGCATTACACAAGGGCAAAGTACATGTAACATGAAATTAATTTTTTAATATGTATTTTTCTCTTTCTTCCTGCTTTCTAATTTCTCATCGTTGTTCAACATACCCATTTCTAGCCCACTTTAAGAAAAAATAAATACCGATTTTTCTATTTCTTTAACAAGCAATGAAAAAAAACAATCCGTTTGATTTGAAAAACAAAAACAAACGCACGACATTTTTATTTCTAGATGCTGGTTGTTACGGCGTACGTGGCTATGGGTGTTGGTGTGGGTGTGCGTATCGGTTTGAATATCGGTATGGGTATGCATGTGGGTGTGGAGTACAAGACGCAAAAGCCGGGGCTCAGGGTGATATTCCAGGTGTCAATTCGCTTTTGAGTCGAGACTATGTGCATCATGTAGGTTCTAAGGAGCTGTGAATATCCTGAAAAGAGTTTGTGTCCCTAGCTTATTTTTATCGAGATATTTATTTTTTCCGGCATTTTTAAGCACAACATCGTGGTCCCCTCAGGTACACCTGAAAACTCAACTTTCGAATATTGACTTCAAACTTTGCACAGAGAAAGGGCTCGATAAGACTAGTTTATTCTGGCAGTTTTAGACCTTTGGTTTTCTTCTATTCCAAGATATGAATATAAGAAAAAAGTAATATTTTTCACATCATTTATAGCCCAAAATGTTTAATTTTCATATTTTAGGATAGGTACAACCAAGAGATTTGTAACCTTCAGAATAAACTAGTCTTATCGAGCCTTTTCTCTATGCAAAGTTTCAAGTCAAAATTCGAAAGTTGAGTTTTCAGGTGTACCTGAGAGGACCACGGTGTTGTGCTAAAAAATGCCGGAAAAACTAAATATCTCTACATAAATAAGCTAGAGGCACCAAAAACTCTTTTCGAGGTGTTCACAGCTTCTGAGGACCTATATGACGCAGGACTCTGTAACTAAATATTCTCTTATAAACGGCAAAATAATAAAATACGAAACCTATCACTTCATAGTTTACACTAAAGATTATGTGTAATTGTTTTGTACTATTATTTCGTGAGACTTAAAAAGCTGATTTTTGAACGAAGGAATCAATGTAAAACGTAAAAAAAGGTATATGTTTGACATCATATTGTCTATTTGAAGATCCGACGATCTGAAAGACAAGCAATAACTAGGGGTACGCAAGCTCAGCTCACGAACCCAGCTCAAATGAGCGAAAGAGCTGTTCGAACAGTTCAGCTCAGTTCAAATGAGCTGTTCGCACAGCTCAGCTCAGCTCAAATGAGCGGTTCGAACAGTTCAGCTCAGTTCAAATGAGCTGAACTGTTCGAACAGTTCAGTTCGTCTCAGCGAGCGTTTTCAACGGCTCATTATTTGTGAGCTTGAGCTGAGCTTGCGTACCCCTAGCAATAACAGTAGAAATTACTGAAAGCAGATCTACATCGCCGTTTATATTTGAGACTCTGTATCTTGGCACGAGTTTAACGAAACCACCGCCCCCCCTCCTTTCCGAGGTTTTTCGAAAACGACGCAGCGAAGTTTCTAGAAACCTTCAGAGTAGATTCATCTCGACAAGTAAAGCAAAACTGGTCATAGACACAAAATTCCGAAATGCTTCCGCCTCGAAAATCTTGCGAGTGCAACGACCAAAAACAGCCTGAAGATTTCCCCTCCCACGCACATGTCCACACTAAGTGTTTTTGACCTCTTGCCACAAGTCGCGGCGTAACTGCAGCGAGTCATGCCAAGGAAGCCTTAAATTCTCGATCACATTTTCGTTGCTTTATTACCTCGTCCTCCCGTTATTTTGTTGCCTCGTTACATCGTTATTTCGTTACTTCATTACATCGTTACCTCGTTAACAGCGTGTGGATGGCGAGGTAATGACGTAACGAGGTAATGAAGTGGCAAAGTAACGAGATGACGAAGTAATGAGCTAGCGAGGAGACAACTGTTAGAAAGAAAAGACGCCATCTATCCCCCTCCAATGAGATTAGTGGCCCCCAGTTAAGTGAGAGAAATTTTCCCATTCAACATGAGTAGAAGAAAAGAACGAGAGTAGAGAAAGGAAAAAAAATAGAAAATAGATAATCGTCTATAGCCTGAAGAAAATTCGAAACACGTTGCTTCTTAAACATACATTTCTATCAAGTCTCGTATTATTTATTGTAAAACAATAAAATTAAACAAAAAAACTAAAAATACTTATTTATTTAACTCAAAAAACAAGTTTACTCTTGTTCACTTATTGTTTCACTGTTTTCTAACGAAAAGAAGGTTCTCATTTTCTCCTCTTTCTTAAACAAATTCACCTCAAAAATCTCAATTTCGCTTTTTCATATACAAACTCCTAAATAAAAGCTCATCTTTTTCATTTTTTCTACTACAAAATTCTCAAATGCAAATTCACATCTTTTTGCTTTTTCTCTAAATCTAATAATAAAAAATAAGTTCATTTACTATTAATCAATTTTTTATTCATTTTTTCATTTTTCTCGCTGAAAAACTCTTAAATACCTTAAGTTTATTCTTTCATTTACAAAACATTTAAAAAGTTAAAAATAGATTAAAAATTTCAAATAAAGCAACAAAACTAAAACAATTTAAGAAACAATACAGAAACGGATTATTTATTTATTTATATATTGTTTGTTTGATCTTCTTTTTTTGCTTCACAACATTGTTAATTCGTTATGTATTTAAATTCACCCTCCCACACCTCGTTACTTCGTTAGTTTGTTACCTCGGGGTGTAGGTGCGTGTGTAGGTCGGCTGGTTAGGCAACAAGGTGACCACATAACAAGACATATATGTCAAGCTTGAAACTTGAATTCAACTATTCAATTATTCAAACGGTTGAAGTTCAAGCATTCAAGTATTCAAATATTGTGGATAGTTGAAGTTCAATTATTCAACTATTCAATTATTTGCAGCTAGTGTGTGTGCCACAAAAGGACTAAGGGAATATACGACAGAAACAAACACCCACACATCATCACAGCAGGTGTGGGTGCCAAGAAAAGAGATAATTGAATACTTGAATAGTTGAACTCGAGGGTGTGGGTGTGAATGTGGATGCAGATTTAGAGAAAGCCCACACTCACACCCTCACCCGTCATACCAATAATAGCACTCTATCCATGGTTTGAGTAAAAGAGTGAAAAACATTGTCAGCTGTAAATAATGCATGAAATCAGAAAGCTTTGCTAAGAAAACATGAACCCTACACTAAAGTGAGCTTTATTGCTCATGTTGGAGACTTAATGAATGGATTACTTCTGAGTCGAATAAAGAGACTTACACTCGATTCGCCTCAACTTCTTAAAAAAGAATCTCAATTCCATTCGATTTCGGTCTGTTTCGAGCTGCACACTAAGTTAAAATATGTCGCATGTGTCGTGATTTACGACACGATGTATGACACATTAAAGCTCGACACGAGGTGCTCGTTGCGACACATTTTGTCCAGCAAGAGCACGACACATTTCGTGCGACACATTTTTTATTGGTTCTTCTGAAAAAGCATATTATGAATTTTTTTAAATTTAATTCCATTATAATTAATTATTCCTATTTTGAAAACTCAAGCAGGTTAGATCTTGAGATCTGACCAGCCTCAAGTTCACCCGATCTCCGTCAGACCGGTTCAGGGGAGTCCTCTCTCGAATATTGATCGAGATTGGCATTTTCTCAACCAATAAAATGTCCAGAAATAATCTAGAACAAAATTATTGTGAAAATATTCATCTTCCTTACGTTCAACCGTGTTGCTTATATATGGTTGTGCATACATAACAAAAACGGTGAATGAATAGGGAACAAACAGAACGCGACAAAATTGTATACGATACGTTCTAAGCGCGATACATTTTTATGCTGGAATGCACGACACATAAATGCATCACATTTTAAGTTAGAGTGTGCTCATAAAGGACGAGCTGGTAACATATCCTCGCCGTGCCTTAGACGTCCAGTATACAAAACAAGGCTCTAGAAAACGTCTACTAATCCAAATATCCCGCTTCCTTTTTATTGGATAAGAGTTGATTAAAACGATATTTCAAAAAGAGCGACGAATATATAAAAGATGAAACAAACATTTCATGAATAACAAACGAAAATCTAACCTATTGCAAAGTTTTTTGTTTTTTAAGAGACGTTCCATGAAATATCAAAATTCCGAAAACATAGGGGTCAACCGATTTTGAATCTGACCTCATAGAAATTTAGGCCTTAGTGTACCATATATAAATCCAAAATATTACGGCCTAAAGATCTACCTATCGTTGGCTAGGACCGATGAACCTGATATACCCTAAAAAATACCACCAAAAAAATGCAAAAAATTCAACTTTTAGTTTCACTGAATTTTTTCCTTCAAATTTTTCCACCGTTCAAATTGAGTCATATGCCAATCGATAGAGCTTTACTTGCTCTACAAAATGGTATATATGACATTTCTCCTCAACCTCGATATTGAAGACAAAAAGTCAAAAAACATTGTTGTTTTTGCATATACGATTTCATGTGTTTTTCAGTATTTTGATCAAATACCTAAGTCAGAAATCGATTGCCAAAAAAATGTATACACCATTTTGTAGCCCATTTAATTCTGCATCAAATCATATATGGGACGTTGCTGAACAATGTTCAGCACTTGAGATGACCATACTCATATTTTTCTTGTTTGGCGAAATCCGATGTCATATCGGATTGATATTTGAATTTTTCTTTCTTAAATTTTTCCACTATTCAAACTGAATCATATACCAATCGATAGAGCTTGAATTGCTCTACCAAATGGTATTCATGACATTTCTCCTCAGTCTCAATATTGAATTCGAAAAGTCAAAATACTGTATTTTTTGACGTAATATAAATTTTTTCTCAGTATTCTGATGAAATATCTGTATCAGAAGATGAATGCCAAAACAGAAATAGCATCATCTTATAGCTCGTTCAATTCTGCATTGAATAATGTATATCACATTGCTTTGAGATATTCTACAACTGAGTCACTAAGACTCAAACATCAAGAACTGATATCTTATTTAGTTATTATTCGTCACGAAAAGCATTTTTTAAAGTATATTGCCAAAATTTGTCTATATATTTCAATCCGGCATAGAATATGATATTTTAATCATTGTGTATTGACTAAAATTACTTTGTCTAAAGCTTAAACAAAGTCAACAAAACTATCGGTTGAAGTCAAGAACTCTTATTCTCTGTTATAATATGACGAAAAATCATGGAATATGCGGACAATTGAGTCAGATCGTATAGGATATACAAAATTGTATTGCAATTCAATCGTATCAACTAAGCTATAGCAATATCAACGGTACATCGCGTAATGGCTTCAGTTTTAAAACTTGCTGTTTTTATGGAACAGTTTTTGATGTTACAAACTTGATGCGTCGTATTAGCCGTGCACTACGAAACTTACCAGTGAAATTAAAGACATGTATATAAATCGATATCGCAGTTTTAAGAAACTTACTTGATTGAAACATAAGCGATGACTACTCTGAAACGAAAAATGGTCTAAAATGAAAACTGATCTAGGATGATAAATGATGTATAACAAAAAAAAAGAAAGTGAAAATCAAATAGTTTATTAGTAAAATATTATTTTATTTTGTATTTGTTGCTTTGTGACGTATCAGTTTTTTATTTTCTTTTTGTCGAAGGTGTACTTGATGCAGAATCAGATACTGTCGAAGAAATTGATGAATTTCCAAGAATATTTCGTGCTTCATCAAGCATTTGACGCCATGGGTATACTTCCAAATCACGATCATCTGTTTCTTTGCTGTCATTTAATTCGTCCATACTGATTGTATCCGTTGATTTGATATCACTAGTATTAATTGTACTAAGAGATGTTGATGAAGATGATATTAAATTTGATGTTGTTTGTTGATCAAGTACTTGCTGCATTGTTCGTTGTTTTACGGCCAAACGGGAAAAATAACTTCTTATTTATGCTTGTATTAAATATTCATCGTTGTTGAATACATAACTGCTATTATTTGTCAACATTTCCATATCTTCAGCAACTCGTGCTGGACCCCATTTCACTATAGAAAAATCATCCATCTATAAGCTAATGTGGTTATGTTACTCACTTCCAGTTTCAACACCTTCGTTGAATTTTTGTTGAAGGGATTTCTTTTTGTTTGTCATTAAAACGTACGTTCGGCTTGTTTTTCTGAGAAGCCCAGTGTTGAGTAAGTGGTGGAATTATCGAGCTGTTGACAGGTGAGACAGCAGTAATTGATAATAAGGGAGTTGAACGAAGATGATTTGTTGTTAAACTTTGATGAAAAAGAATTGTAATTTTGTCAATCAGAGAATGCTTTTCAAGTTTCATCTTATGTTTCCCAGTTGTATAATGCCGAAGAAGATTAGCATAGTAAAGGTAACGTGCAACACAACCATTAACTTGATAATCAAATGAATAATAATGATCTTCCAATGTATTCGTCACATTTGACTCTTCTTCACTTAATTCTTCGCTGCTACTGCTATTATCCGAATATGTATAATTTGGATGATCTTTATCTATGAAATAAATAAAATTTTTTAAAGATAAAAATACTGTTTCTACCAGCTTTTTCGTACTAATCATTAACCCATGGTACTGAAAGATTTTTTGAAAAATATACGTTCAAAGGATTGATTTTTACATTGTTCTTTTGCAAATCACATAATCGATATAATTTTCCGGGACCAACTTTCCAGTATTGCCAAACACAAACTTCAGTTGATGTTTTTGTAGACGGGGTGTGGGTGTGGGTGGTGTGGGTGTGTGTGAGTGGGTGGGTGTGAGTGTGGGTATGGGTGGGTGTTGGTGGATGTGGGTGTGGTGTGTGTTGATGAGAGTATGAGTGCTGGTGCGAGTATGGATGTGCATGAACAGAAGACAAACACCCAACAGCCACACCCTTCCAGAAATGAAAAATGAGAATTGAGTAAAAGCGTTTGCGTTGGAAAACTTTTGTGGAATAAAAAGAAAGAAAATTGAATGAAAGCGGAATCGTTGAAAAGCTTCTCTGGAAAAATAAAGCTATGAAAAAGAAAAACTGTACGAGCTGGAACATTTTTTACAAAGGAGAAAAGTAAACAGATAGTAAATGTTTCCATTTAAACAGTTTTCTCTGAAAAAAGTGTAAACTTAGCAAAAGAAATGGCAATACTATTGTTAGAAGACGTTTCTGAGAAATTAATCATAAGAGACAACAGAAAGGATTTTAGGTGGAAAATGTGACGATAATTTAAAAATGAAAAGTGTTTAAAAGTGTTAGTGTTGGAAGACTTCTGGGTAACAAAAATAAAGAAGGAAATTGAATGACACTGTGCTCGTTGCAATACCTTTTCGAAACATTAAAAGTCAAAGAAAGAAAAATCGTTTGGATCGGAGTGTTTTTCTGAGAAAGAAAAAAATAAACAACTAGTGAAACCGTCTCCACTGGAAAGCTTTTCTTCGGAAAAAATATAACTTGGAAGAAAGAAATAGCATTGTCATCGTTAGAGGATGTTTCTGAGGAAGTAAAAATTAACAATCACAGGAAGAATGTGGGATGGAAGATGCTGCTTGAAAATTAAAAATAAAAACTGCACAAAAGGATCCGTATTGAAAGACTTCAGAAATGAAAAATGGAAGTGGAGTAAAACGGTCCTTGTTAGAACAGGTTTCTTGAATAATGAAAATGGTGGAAAAGATGATAGACATGTACGAAGTAAACAGAGCAAAAGAGAATCTAAAAAAGAACCACTCGGTTGTTTTTTAGGAAATAAAAATTCAAGTCTCAGATCATTAAGTGAACAGAGAAAACCAACCGAAGCAATCTTTTGAAGTTTTTCCGTGTAATAATCCACAGATATGGGCATCCAGCATTTAGGCAATAATAGTAGAGTTCGTTTTGTATTTTCATATTTTAAAATAGTGCGAGAGAACTGTAGAAAAGTGTAGGAAGAAATAGAGGGCTAATAGTAGCTAACATCGTAGCTGTCGTTTATACATTCACGAACAATGATCGCAATGAATTAATGAAGAAAGTGAAAAAAAAAATCTTTTCGTTCTTTTGCTTCTGGACAATCATCTCCAACTATTTCAAAGAGTAAAAACTAAATCACAAAAAGGGAAGTAATTTAGCTCTGTCTATTTCTCTTGAGAAATTAGGTAAATATGAACGCCAATATTCGAAGAAAAGAAAAGTTAATTAACTTTTCTGATTTGTCTACACAATGCACGTTTACTCTCTGGATAACTAATCGAGCAAAAAGAAAATGAAACTTGAACAAATTGTTCAAGTTTTCTAGCATGGCGACACATAATAGTAAGAATGAATATAAGACGAAAAGAGGGATAATCGTAGTCTGTCGGTTTCCGTTTTTCTAATAGAATGCGGCACTTGTATCAGAATAAATGAAGACAAAAGTGTGAAAAGCAAACTAAACTAACTTTTAACACTTTTTTTCGGAAGATGGCCACAAGATGCATAATCATTCAATGCAAATAAGAAAATGGGAGTATTTTCTCATTGAATAATTTTGTTAAAATCAACACCAACTAATTGTAGAAGGAAAAACAACTAAGTACACTGGACCAGATTTGTCGATATGTGCATGGGAAGGAAGCTATGTCTGCAACCAATTAAAAGAAGAAACGCAAGATTAAGCAACTTATGCTGTGTTTCTATAAAAACGTGCGATCAGTCCTGGAACAGATAAACGATGAAAGAGAAAGAATAAACACAACTAACCTGTTAGAATTTTCTCAGAAAAATGACTAACAATTCTCGGAATAACGAATTTGAAAAAAGAAAGGGAAGCTTGTTTTCATTCTGCTGCTCCTGTAATACCTTCGGCAATTATCGGAATAAGTAAAATATAAAAAAGTAAACTAAAATAACTCCATTCGTTCACTCTTAGATATTATCGGTGAAATTACAAGAAATTTTAGGAAAAACTCATTGAAAACAAAAAAAATGGAAACCAATTTTTATTCTGTTGCTTCTGTAGCAGCTCCGGCAACTATTCGGACAAGTAAAAGAAAAAAGAAAAAGGGTGAACTAGCTTTCTCCGTTGCTCTGTTAAAAAAACAACTAAAGTATTGATGCAATTCAACGAAGAACAATAAAGTAAACTACTAGTAGTTTCATCTTTTTCGATAAAGTTGACAACCACTACAAACATATTTAAATGATGAAAGAGAAAAGTCCTATGGAGCCAATTAATTCGGATTGCCACGCGGCATTGTACCAATACGACAATAACTAATTGAAAAAGACAAACAAAACAACAATAATATAACAAATGAGTTTCTCCAATAAAATTGCTAGAAATACCATGAGAACTGAATAAAAAAGAAAAATTACAGCAAGTCATCTTATTAGGGTCGATATATAAAAAAAGTTATTTATTCTTTTTTACTGCTTCTTTTTATTTCATACATATATCTGACCCCACATGCAACAATGAAAAATGTCCGCACACACGTATATATATATATATATTCTTTTATCCAGGGAAAAACACGTACATATAT